TCACTCCCACCCACCCACCCAAGTCTACACAAGTAAATCTAATCAATTTGGTTAGAAGGGATTTATTTTAATATTTTAGAGGATTTCTTAGATACAGTATGATTTTTTGTTAGTAGTAGTAATTGGAAATGCATATTTTTATGACTGTTTGAAGTCACCTTCTAAATAATTTCTAGAGTAAAATTTTTATATTGAAGAAGTTGGTCTTAACATTTTTTTTTTCAGGAGCATACATTTTGAAATCATTTCTGTGGGAAGATTAAAACAAATTTATTTCTCTGTCTCCCCTTTTTAGAGATGTTGACACTTTCCCCAAGATTTGCCCTGCATGATTTGTCTGCCACTGTTTAGCTTGTTAAACTTAAATCCCAGATCTCCTTCCCATTTCAGTTTCTCTAGAATTTCTAGCTGTTTCCAATGGGTCAGATTTGTGAGTGAACCATAAGAATGATTTAGTGTAGGAATAAACCATGAATTAGGAGCTTGAACACTGCCTAGGTTCTGTTTCTGATTTGGTTATGACTCAGCTGTGTGGCCTTGGGAAACCACTTTACAGGTATCCCTGTCCTTGCAGAATTAAGAGATTACGATGGTTGTGGTAATTATGAGGATCAGATAAAATACATTAAAACATGGTGTAAATTGAATTATGTTATTTATTTACATGTGTATCTGTGGACCTGGAGATCAGGTGCTATGTTTAAGCCTTATCTTTGTTTTTAATCCTGTGTCTCTAATTGTGTTTGTAAAGGAGTGAGTCATGTTAGTGGTTGCTAGAAGTTTGAGTAAAACAAACAAGCAAAAAAAATGTAAATTAATACTATTTCTCTTTTTTAAAAACTTTTTTACATTTTAAAAATTATAGATAAATACAGAGATGAGGTCTTACCATGTTGCCCAGGCTAGTTTCAAACTCACAAGCTAGTTTCAAACTCGTAAGTGATGCTCCCTCCTCAGCTTCCCAAAGTGCTAGGATTCCAGGCGTGTGCCACCATGCCTGGCCAGTAGTACTATTTCTTTGGGAAGTTATTCAGTAGTAGTCAACAAAGTTGAGCGTACTGCGACCTAGCAGTATTGGTGCTAGGTATATACCCAAGAGAAATGCAAACATAACAAAACTCAGGTCCAGGAATATTCACAGAAGCACAATTCATGATAGCAAAAAACCAGAAAACAACCTAAATGTCTCTAAGCAATAGAATAAGAGTAATACATTGTGGTTTGTTTATACAGTGAGATCCTGTACAGCAATGCAAAAGACCAAAATATTCTCTGTAACAATGAGAATGAATCTCCCATGCTCAATTCGGCAGCACATAAGGTAAAATTGGAGTGATACAGAGAAGATTAGCATGGCCCCTGCACAAGGAGAATGAATCTCCCATTACGTTCAGCAAAAGAAGCCAGATATAAATGAATATTCTATTTTATAAAAAAGTTTAAAAGCAGGCAAAGCTAACATTTGGGGCTAGAAATTAGGATAGTGCTTATCTTGGGAAGGGCTAATTGGGAGGATTCATGACAATTTTTGAGAGCTTATAATCTTTTTTAAAAAATCTAAGATGTTAGTTATATGTATTTGCTTTATGAAAACTCTGTCAGTTGTACACTTGTGATTACTGTACTTTTAAAAAATGCTTTCTTAAAGAGGTTGGGAGATAAGTGAAGTCCGTTTAAAAGTTGGTGTCTTTTCACCCTTCTCTTATGAAAATGAACACGGCCCCTGGAGGCAGAACTTAACATGACTTGATGAAAAATGTGGCTGTACCAACAAAAGAGAAACAAATTTAAAACAATCTTGTGATTCTCAAACTGCTGGAAAACCTGTAGCTTATAAAGTTTGAATGGCCAGTTCTGCATTTCTTGTTCCAAAAAGGATTTGAGACAGAAAATTTGAAGGTAAAGAGGAACACAACACCAAAGAAATAATGATGAGATTTGGAATCATTAGACCTGGTTTTAAATTCTGGCTCCAATTATTTTTTGTTTGTTTTATTATTATTTTTTAAATTTTGTTATTTTTTTGTCTCCAATTCTTATCTACACAGTGAAGACTCAGTTCCTCATTTGTGAAAGAGGGGGTGGAGGTGTTGTGGTTAGTGAAGTAACCTGAATTGACATAAATACTGGTTCCAAACCATTCTACCTGAATATTGGTTCAAACAATTTTTAACAATACTTTTTCAGAAATTTCTATAAAAGGACTTAAATTTTGTTGCTGATTATTTACACAAAGTAATTTTTTTTTTGAGTTTACTGAGTCAGATCTAGTTTTTTTACTTGTAGCACCAATGAAATTTACTTCTGTACCAGTAACAATTACATACAAGGGTCAAAAATATAGCTCCCTGAAATTCAATGGAAAGGATTTTCTAATATGATGACATTTTAAAACAGCCTATTTAGGGCAACAGTTGGAAATATGTGATGAAGAAACTGAATAAATTATACAGAAGTGCTCTTAAGAGGCCAAGGGAGAAGGATCACTTGAGGCCAGGAGTTGAAGACCAGCCTAAGTAACATAGCAAGATCCCCATCTCCACAAAAATTAAATGAAATTAAATTTTAAAATTAGACAAATGTGGTTGCATGTGCCTGAAGTTCTAGCTACTTACACAAAATAATTTCTAAAAGCTGTAGTATAGTTTTTGATATATCAGATATTACATAATAACTACAAGAGATTTAGATTGTGTCTTCTCTGGTAAACCAAATGATATAGTTGGATGTTTGTCCCCTCCAGATCTCATGTTCAGATGTGATCCCTAATGTTGGAGGTGGGGCTTGATGGGAGGCGTTTGGGTCATGAGGGTGGATCCCTCATCCCCTCCCCACTGTAATAATGAGTTCAAGAGTCTGGGATCTCCCACATCTCTCTTGCGTCCTCTCTCACCATGTGACATATTTGCACTTACTTTACCTTCCACAATGAGTAAAAGCCTCCTGAGGTCTCACCAGAAGCCAGGCAGATCTTGGTGCCATGCTTGTATAGCCTGCAGAACCAGGAGCCAAATAAACTTTTTTTTTTTTCTTATAAATTACCCAGCCTCAGGTATTCCTTTATAGCAGTACAAAATGGACTAATACACCAAGGAAAGCCAGAATATAATTCTGACATTCCAGACACGTTCTGCAGGTAAGAGCAAGGTCATAAATGACAAAAACCTTGCTTGGTGGCTGAAAACAGCCAACATTTCTTATCTCAGTTTCTGTGGGATGGGAATCTAGAAGCAGCTTAGCCTAGCTGAGTATTTCTGACCCAGGGTTATTGTCAGACTGCATTCAAAGTGTCATCCCATGCCGCAGTCTCTCAAAACTCAACTGGGGTTGGATCCACTTCCAGACTCACTCATGTTTCTGGTGGTAAGCCTCAGTTCTTTGCAATGTGAGCTTCTCCACAAGGTCTGTGTCACCACATGGCAACTAGTGTCACCTTCAGAGAAAGTGATGGAAACTACAGTCTTTTTTAATATTGTGCGTGGCATCTCTGGTAGTCCGTCTTATACTTAGGTGTAGAGAATTCCACAGAGATCAGCAGGCAGGGATTGTTGGTGAGCTCTTAGAACCTGTCTACCACAATAAGAAAGCAGCAGATCATGTTCTCCCATTCTCTCAAGACATTTTATGTTTCAGTAAAATGATACCTAGTAGCAGACTAACAACCACCTGGGCAAGCAGGATGCTGAATCTCAGTATATTTAAGATGGAATATAAGAGAATGACCAGAAACTAGAATTTCATTTTCATATGCTGTTCAATCATTTTTTTGCTTTTAGTATGGATTAATTAAAAAGATTGAGTTTGTCATTACAAGAACATGAACTTTTATTGTTATAAACTGAGGACATCAATATGTGTTGTTCTGGATTTCCACCTATTTTGATGTCAGATTTCATAAATGTTATGAGTTACATATGTTAGCACATGTGGAATGGTGACTGAAGAATTTTTTTGCACAATTTAGGATGATCTTGTCCTTTTGAAATACCAGTTTAGTTTACTTGGTATACCAGGCTCTCTTTTGACATTAATGTAACTTTTGAGACTTTAAGTTAGACATAGCTTAGCTTTGAATTCTGTCCGAAAGCAATATATGGTATGCCTGTATTGTATTGGTGCTAGAGTAAATGAGGTTTTACCGCTTTTCACTTTACAGTCTGTTTTGGAATAAAAGAGGGACTGAAATGTACAGATACCATGTTTAGACAGAATCACCAGTAGATGTTGGTTATATAAAATATGTTGTATAATGAAAAATATATAACTTTTAAAAGTATATGCTAGTAAAGAAGGATTGGCAAGATACACTGTTAGTGGAAACAGCAAACAACAATTCTTATAGCATCCTGAGGGTGGCGTTTGTGTGTGTAGATGAGGGAGCTATGTATACGTGTGTAAGTGTACCCATGGACAGTGTTGGGAAGGCTTTATAAGAAACTTGATGGTGGTTACTCTTGGGGGAGTAAGACTCTGAGGGTCTTGTGTAGGAAGATGGGCTTTCCATTGCATGCCTTTTCAAAAAAAAAAACCTGTATATAATATTTTTGTTTAAAAAATAATTGCACAGTCTGTTAACATTCAGCTTTATGAAATGTGTCTAGTAGTATATGCATATACTCACAGTTATTTTAGTGATTTTTCCTGAAAATCAAAATGGACACATTTGCAGGAAAGCTTGATTTGAGCTATGAAGTTTGTCCTTAAAATCTTTACTGTTAGAGGCTCGTGTTTACTTACCATATTACTTATTTTCTTTACAGGGAGACCAAATTTTGAGGAAGGTGGACCAACATCAGTAGGGAGAAAGCATGAATTTATACGCTCAGAAAGTGAAAATTGGCGTATCTTTAGAGAGGAACAAAATGGAGAAGATGAAGATGGAGGTTGGCGACTAGCTGGATCAAGGAGGGATGGAGAGAGGTGGCGACCTCACAGTCCTGGTAAGAATTCTGTTGAGTAAAGGCACACAGGGACTTTACAGTAAAGGGAAAGTTTGAAGGAAATAGGGATTAAATAGAAAAGATAAAGGCAGGGGGAGGGGAGCAGTCATACTATTTATGCTATCACAGTTTTATTACTGGAAAAAATTCCAACATAAGAATTTTCTACTGAATCTATTCAGTTGATTGAAATCGCTTTTCTCTTTTTCTGGGACAAATAGTGTAGTGTAACAGGGAGCACCTGCTCTCAACTGCAGAAATGAGGGCTTCATTCAGTTTTGTGTAACTCCAAATCTTTGAATCTTTTTTCAGCATTCTTTAAGACTTAGAAATGTATGAAAAATACACACTTGAAATATGTGATTCCCTCCCCAACAATGGGTTTTTCTTGACAAGAAAGGATTTATTCTTTCATTTTTTCTCTTTCGAAAATATGATTTAACTTGTTTGAAGAATAAGCTTTAAACCTAGGTCAGAAACATAGTCACAAGTTCATTCTTTTGTCTTTCTAACTTTAGAAAAAGGAGAGAGAATAGCAGTGATTAGTTCTTCTGTTTGTCTCTTAAGAATGCTTCAAACTGTTCTTCTTGGACATTAGCTATGCTGGTAATTGAAGACACTAGTGCTTTGTGTTAAAGTTCATCCCTTGCCACAGTGCTGATTCCGTGCCTCATGATAATCAGATGCAACTGTAGTTCGAATAGTGGGGTCATGCAAAACTGAAGCACACAGAGAGTATGTGCATGCCCTATGAATTTCATGTGTATGACAATATTTTATCAACCATCTGCCAGAGCAGCTTACCTTTAATACAGGAAATTATTATAATGTAAACTGTTTCTACTTTTAAAAATCAAGTTATTAGCAAAACCACTAGCTTAGATCTGGGTAGACATTATAACAGGCATTCAGGGTATTGTAATGGAGTGGTAGGTAGATAGACACATACTGAAGTTAATGTTTGGGTAGAGTTAGGATGCTTTTATACCTGCTCTTCATGGCTGTCTCTGGGATGCGTTTTCTATCATTAGTGGGCATTGTTTGCATCACAAGATCTAGGTAATTTTCATAAGTCTGTGTCCTGGGCCAAATGTTATTCTTCTCTAAAAGACATCATGGGATTTTATGCTGAGCTTGTTCTGTAGGCAGAGGGTTTGTAGACTATGTACCCAACAAGCATTCAGTGAAGAATGGATAGGATCTGGGCTGAGAGAGAAAAGAAATTCCAGCTGGTGAAAAACAAACAAGGTGAATGTTTTGGAAGATGAACAGTGTTTTTTGAGCCCAAATGTCTGATGTTGATTCTATTAAAGGGAGTTTAACAAAGCACATCCCACCCAACATGTAAAATTTGGTGATATATTATCTTCTTATCTTTTCTAAATCTTTCTTTCCCCCTAATATTTGACTTTCATGTCATTTTTGTCATCAACCTGTGTATCTTCCAGAACTTTTAATCCATATATGCATATATTTTTTCCATCACACCTGTGGCTGAAATCCATATACTTTTAAGAGACGGCTTGGGGGATATAAAGATACGTGGATCTGAAAAAACACTGTAAATGCATTTTAAAGAAAGAATACCATTCACTTTTTAAACGCAGCATATTCGAAGTATAGTCTGATTATAGCAGTTTTTATACGTTAACTCTTAGCATTTGTTAGATTATGGTTATTCTTTTATTAAGATTTGAGTAAAACTTTAAATTATTTTAACTGCTATTATCTTTACGAAAATAGTATCCAACTTTAGTTCAGATGTAGGGTCTGTAAATCAGCGGTCAGCCTTAATAAGTATCTTACATGTCTTACTTGCTGCATTTAGTTTTGTGAGTAAAATTTGATGAACTACTGGTAAGATAACAACATTATGGGATATAAAATAGGGCTTCTGGCTGGATGTGTATGGAGGTGGGACCATTAAGGACAGGAAGGCATCCAGTCTGGGAGATGAACGGAAACATGAGCCGGCTACCTAGAAGGATAGATTCCTATCATGATGCATGTGTATAGACTGTTAGAAATGAAAGCAGTACGGAGGGCTCTGGAGTTCATTTGATCATGAAGACTCTTTTTGTATAATGGCTCTAGGTTTCCATTTAAGCAATCTGGGTATAAAATTCCTTAGTTCTCATAGGAAATAAATAGTGTTTTGTTGTTGTTATATCCATGGATGGGAATGTGGGCATAAGATTTTGTTTCCTGAGTGGCTTAGCAGATGCTGCCTGTATTTGGCATTGTAACATTTTGCCCTTTGTTTTCTAGTTTGATTTTTAGATTACTTGTTTTTTGCAAATTTTGTCTCAGTAGTAAAAACATTTAGCTCTGGCCACATTTCTTTTTTTTTTTTCTTCCTTTTTTTTTTTTTTTTTAAATCCCCCACAGAGAAAGCAATCAAGGATGGAAAATTCTAATAGGTTAAAGCCTGCTTTTCTTTTTAAGACTCTTTTAGACTCAGTTCTGACAGAATTTCCCTTTCTTTTTTTGGAAAAACACCTTAAGTGGGACCTTTTATTCTTAGGCAGTCTTTTTTCCTGTTGGAAAATGTAGATTTAGGAATGTCCCTAGGGTTATTATATGGAAATAAAAATTCCCTAGGAAGAATTAAGAGATGAGAAAGAAGGGAAAGGAGTAAGCGTGTTGTGGAACAAGCAGCAGAGGGTGCAGAATTGGGTTTTAGTTCTACTTTTCCATGTGTGAGTTACTTCTGCTGGCAGAGTTTTAGTTTCTTCTTAAACTATAAAATTAGGATGGTGGACTTTATAAAATCTCTGTGACAACTTTCAGCACTGTAATTTCATGAATTTTTTGGGGGGGGATCAGAATTACAAGTGGGAACTTGGCATTAATAAATAGGCATGATGAGTCTGATATTATGAATCGACACAAGGAGCTGATTTTATCCATAAAGAATGATATTTTCATGGGAAGAAAGAAAATGCTTTAAGATTGGGCAAAGGGAAGGCATAAACTTCAGTATGGAAAGCTGTCTAGTCCATTAAGTCTGGATGAAGAGTTGGTGGCTAATTAGTATTTTAATGAAGTACCTAGGACTTACTAAAAGTGCAAACTTGGGGCCGGGCATGGTGGCTCACGCCTGTAGTCCCAGCACTTTGGGAGGCCAAGGTGGACAGATCACCTAAGGTTGGGAGTTGGTGACCAGCTTGACCAACATGGAGAAACTCCGTCTCTACTAAAAATACAAAACATTAGCCAAGTGTGGTTGCACATGCCTGTAATTCCAGCTACTCGGGAGGCTGTGGCAGGAGAATCACTTGAACCTGGGAGGCGGAGGCTGCAGTGAGCCGAGATCAGGCCATTGCACTCCAGCCTGGGCAACAAGAGTAAAACTTCGTATGAAAAAAAAAAAAAGTGCATACTTGGAATACCAAGTGTCCTTTAAATGTGCTCCATTTTAAATTTATCTTTTAAAGCTTTAGAGTATGTTGCATAACTCAGTACTTAAGTACTGCTGTCATTTCATAATGGTATATATACTCTGAACCCTGAACTTGATTTAATTGCATAGTGTTATCTTTACTAGGTCAGTCCATTTGAGTTTGCAACCAGTTGTAGTTTTCTCCTTTATTTTCTACTTTTGATTTTCTTTTTCAAATACTGTCATAAAACTTTTCTAAGGTTTGTGTCCTCCTCATCTCAGATGGCCCTCGTTCTGCAGGCTGGCGGGAACACATGGAACGACGTCGAAGGTTCGAGTTTGACTTTCGAGATAGAGATGATGAGCGGGGTTACCGAAGGGTTCGCTCTGGCAGTGGGAGCATAGATGATGACAGGGATAGCTTGCCTGAATGGTGCTTAGAGGATGCTGAAGAAGAAATGGGCACATTTGATTCATCTGGAGCATTCCTCTCTCTAAAAGTAAGAAATGTATTTTAAATGTAATGACCAGCATTCACCTTATACCAAAGCCAAATCTGCTCTTCATCTTTGGTTTTATTCTGTTGATACAGAAAGTACAGAAAGAGCCTATTCCAGAAGAGCAGGAGATGGACTTCCGGCCTGTGGATGAAGGGGAGGAATGCTCTGACTCAGAGGGTAGCCATAATGAAGAGACCAAAGAACCCGATAAGACAAATAAGAAAGAAGGAGAGAAAACAGATAGAGTAGGAGTTGGTAAGCCCTCTTCTTGCCTTTTACTTTTTTTTTTTCATCATCAAACCAAAACTTTCCTAAGTTCATCTAAGAATACTTCATGTTCCAGAAGCTAGTGAGGAAACTCCCCAGACCTCATCATCATCTGCTAGACCAGGTACTCCTTCAGACCATCAGTCTCAGGAAGCATCACAGTTTGAGAGGAAAGATGAACCCCAAACTGAGCAAATGGAGAAAACTGAAGAGGAGACTCGGATGGAAAATAGTCTACCAGCCAAAGTGCCCAGCAGAGGGGATGGTATGTATTTGTGGGAACAGACAAGCTAAAATAGGATTGTGCTGAGGCCAGTGATCACTGATATGATAGGCTTCTGCTTCTAGAACTGCTTTAGGTGGGTGAATTATCGGAACAGATAATTTTACCAGTAAAGCCAGTCAAACGGTACTTCTCACATATGTGTCCATCTCAGAATTTACCAAAACAGAGTTAGAATCTGTAAGGGTAGAGCCCTGGAATCTCATGTCCTAAGGTGTTATGACATAGCCACCCTGTCCTTACTAGTGAACTGGATGTTAGATCCTCTGCATTGGTTTAATTCCCATATCAGACAGTTACCTTCCTTTCATGTGATGGTTAATTATGTGTCCAACTTACATTACCAGTTGACAAACAAAAATGCCATTGTTTGTCAAAAAGAAGCCAAGAGGAGAACATGTATGAATCTGTGGCAGAATAAGCTTAAAATAGATCTCTTTCAGTATTAAATTATTGCTTTAAGTTGCTCATATACCTTATTAGGCAATATTAATGCTCATTTCCATATTTCTTCTTGTACATATTTTAAAATGTCATTGTAATGCCTGGTGTTGAAGGGTTAACTGATTCTTTTACCATAAAAATTTATACCCTTTGATGGTATATGAGACACTGCATGATCTGGCATCTGCTTCCCTTTGTGCTGTTTCAATGCCAGTCTCTTTACCTCCCTCACCTTCTACTCACCAGCCTCAGAGGCTTTTAGGTCCTGAAATGTCCCCTGGCTTCTAGGGTTCATACCTTAGCACACCCTTTTCTCTGTTCTTGAAACTCTTCCACCCAAAGCCCCCAAGCTAGGGTAGGTGTCCTCTTCCTTTATTTCTTAAACAAGCAGCCTTATTTCTAACATAGCATTATAATATCATAAAGATGTTTATTATCTTGTTTTCCCAGTGGGCGAATATTTTGAGCACTCAAACCAAGAATTTTTCAGTTTTTTAAATTCTTAGAACAAAGCTGAATTTTTTTTTAAAGAGGTGGGATTAACTGGGTGCAGTGGCATGTGCCTGTAATCCCAGCTACTTAGGAGTTTGAGAACAGCGTGGACAACATAGTGAGACCCTGTCTCTAAAAGCAAAACAAACAACAACAAAAACAAAACAGGATCTCACTAGGTTGCTTATCCTGGGTCCAAACTCCTGGACTCAAGTGATTCTCCTGCCTTTAGCTTCCTGAGGAGCTCAGCAAGTATTTGAATCTGTACTCTACATAGCAGGCAATGTGAGACTGGTATATCTTTGAGACAGTTTGATTTGTAGTAGTTGTTTTTCAGTTATGATATGTCCCAGAACTACTTGTACATTCTTTTGAATGTACATGCTGAAGCCTTATTCCAGGAGATTCTTGGGTCAAGTCTAGACATGTATATTCTGAGAAAGTTTCATAGATGTGCACTAAAGGTCAAAACTCTAGATTTATAGTGTGTATGGGAGATAAAACATGCATATATCACTATTTCAGGACAAAAAGTAAGATAGGGGTTCATTGTTGGCAGACTCTTGGGATGCTTCAGGAAATAGGTGGTCTCTGAAGACATCTTGGAATAATAAGTAGAATTTGGAAGTAAGTGTAGCTAGATGAATTAGAAGAAGGCATTCCAGCACTAGGGAGCAGTGAAAGCTAGAGTGAAGAAGTGGGACTGATCCAGGCTTGGGCAGGAATCAGCTCTTGGTTTTATTTGATGAAATATGAAGTGTGAAAGGAGGATATTGGGAGACATAGTTAGAACATGGATTTGACAGCAGGTTGTGGACTATCTTTTGTTGTGATGACAGTTCGGCTTTACTGTGACCTCCTAGACTCCTGAGCAGTCATTATGTGGTAGGCAGTACACCTGTAAAGGTAAGTTGTGACAGATGAGATTTTAAAATAGAAATTGGCAAGACTTGGTCATTGACTGGATATCAGGGTAAAGAAGAGAGAAGAGCCAAAGATGACTGAAGTGCCTGAGAGGATTATGGTGCCATTCACATGAAAAGAGAGTGGAAGTTAAGGAGCACATTGGGGAAGGGAGAGAATAAATTCAGTTTTGAACACTGATTCTGAGGTGTTGATGAGAAGAAATTAAGTGGAGATGGCCAGAGAGCAGTTGTGAATGAGGGACTATAGCTAGATGAAAATAGTTTAGGGCTAGAGAGAGAATGAAAATTGCAGAGATTATATGCACTTATTAGGAGTAAGAGAAAAGTGAACTGAGAATAGAACTTAGAGAAACTCCCATTTTTAAAGGATAGAGGAAGAGGAACCAGAGAAAAATCCTCAGAGGTAAAAGTTGAGATAGGAGAGTAGAGTGCAGGGAAACTAAGGAAGGGGAATGTTTTAGCTTACAATTGAGTTGATAATGTTAGATGCTACTAAGAGATTGGATGAGGAGGACTAGGAAAAGTCATTTTCTTCGGCAACTTTATGTCACTGCTTATGTTTGAGAGAGGAGCTTTAATGGAGACGTGAGAGCAGAAGTCACCTTACAGCAGGCGTGGGTAAAGTGGATACAGCATGTATAGACTGTCCTTTGAAAAAGTGTGGCAAAGAATGAGTGAGTGAGAGGAGCAGGAATTTGGAGAAGCTATCTGTAGTTGAACAAACAAGATTTCAAAAAGGAAACTGCAATTATACTAATTACTTCCATCCTCCTTTTCCTTCTTAAGAGCCTACACATTGAGAGATTAGAAATAGGAACCAAGACAAAACCTCTTTTGTAATTTGTATTGGTATTGAGAAGAACATCCTGCACTGTACAGGTAGACTCCAAGTGCTTCTCATTATCCTACAACAATATATTGAATTATGTTAATCTTACTGAGCATAATCGTAGATATTTTCAGTAAAGGTTTTGATGAGATATACCATACCTTTGAGAAGATTTAGGGTGCATTGATAACTATCTTTTACAATTGGAGACATGTTACAAAAAAAGGATTAGATTGATTGTTTCTAAGAGGTCAGCCTATAATCGGGTGGATGCTCTAGTGACACAGGTAAGCCCTGGAGAAGCACCTTTTAGGTACCTTTTAACTCTTACCTTTTGTCATTAATTCTGTTGTTCTAGGAAAGAATATTGTCTCCATAGAAGTAGCTTCACTGTTCATGACAGGGTTCACATTTCCATTGGGCCCATTTAGCAGGCTGTGCAACTTGATAATGTAGTTAACCTTCATACAAGTCTCTATATTTCAAAGGATTTTCGTCTGATTTTCCCCCCTAGAAATGGTTGCTGATGTGCAGCAACCCCTGTCGCAGATTCCTTCAGACACAGCCTCTCCTCTTCTCATACTTCCACCACCTGTTCCCAATCCTAGTCCTACCCTCCGGCCAGTTGAAACATCAGTTGTAGGTGCTCCTGGAATGGGCAGTGTTTCCACAGAACCTGATGATGAAGAAGGTCTCAAACATTTGGAGCAGGTAAAAATCCTGTCATTCTTTTTTGTCTCTTCTTAAACTGCCATAAAAAGTGCAGGCCTTAGGTGAATATTCAAATACAAGAACTTTTGTCACTAGATTTTAAATACTGGAAAAATTGGCTATTTAGTGTTTATTTGTACAAGTAATTGTCTTTCAAATCATTTCATGCTTATAAGTTTCTGCTATGTGGTAGTCATTATGTCAGGTTATTTTTTGCTCTTAGGTTGCCCTTAGCTATTTACTTTTCTTTTTTCTTTTTGGACATTAATGGAATGCCACAAAAGGAGAATACAAGCAGCTGTGGATGATCACTGTGTCTTCTGTATTTATTGCTTCAAGTGTAACAGGGAAAATAGTTAAACTCTCAGAGCATTAACATCTTATTCATGTCTCTAAATTTCCCCAAGATTGTGTATACCATTTTTATATGTAAAGTAAGTGATAGCTTGCTTTTCTACAAAAGAATTTCGTTTCCCTTTGGGGTGGGATGGCTAGTGGCAGGAAATTCTGAAGAAAGGAAAAAGGGAGATAGTGTCTTAGTAAAACTTGTAAAAGATTTTATTTGTAATTGTATTAATTGAGCTTTTTGTTCTGTTAACATCCTTTTTACAGGTTTAGTTTATACCATTTAGAGTTGACCAACAGCTTATTAGTTTAAAAAGTACTCTTAGCCAGGCAAGGTGGTGCATGTCTGTAGTCGCAGCTAGTTGGGAGGCTGAGGTGGGAGGATCGCTTGAACCCAGGAGTTCAAGAACGGTCTGGGTAACGTAACGTAACATAACAACATAACATAACATAACATAACATAACATAACAAACATAAAACTTACCTCGTCTCTATTAAAAACAACAAACAAAAAAAGGTACTAGTGTTGATTTGAACCCTGGGCTATGATCTCTAGCAGTTTGTGTTTTAATCTTAGTTGATTTGATTAGTAATTTTGAGATCTTGAGCAAGACTTGGCATCTCTGAGCCTTAGTTTCCCCTCTGTAAAATGGGGATAGTACCTATTTCATGGCATTGTTGTGAGAATTAAAATGTTACCTACTATATTCTTCGCATAGTGACTTTCGTAGATCAAGTAGTCCAAAAAAAAGGCAGGCACTGTTATTATGTGTACAAGTACTAATTTAGGATCGTTTGTTTCCTTGATTTTTGTTTTTCTGTTATTAGCAAGCTGAGAAGATGGTGGCTTATCTCCAAGACAGTGCACTAGATGATGAGAGATTGGTATCAAAACTGCAAGAGCACAGAGCTAAAGGAGTGTCGATTCCATTGATGCATGAAGCAATGCAGAAGTGGTATTACAAAGATCCTCAGGGAGAAATTCAAGGCAAGTTGTTCCTTTTGCCTTTAAGTGCTGAAGTGTATGCCATTACCTACAGAATCTCTAAGAAGTTATTTGTTTAATTTGAATTATAGTAGAAAAAGAAGTCAGCAGGCTTTCTTCATGTGTACATGCACACACACAGACTAGAAATATTTCTGATTGCAGATATTTTTAGATTTTTTCCCCCGATTTTGGAATATTTGCATTGTATGTACCAGCTGAACATCCCAAATCTGAAAATCCAAATTCCATAATGCTCCATTGAATGTTTCCTTTGTGTGATGCTCAGATTTTAGAGCATTTTGGATTTCAGATTTTTGTATTAGGGATAGTCAGCCTATGTGAAAATAACTTGAATACAGCCTGGTATGATGGCTCATGCCTATAATCCCAGCACTTGGGGAGGTTGAGGCGGGCGGATCACCTGAGGTTAGGAGGTCGAGACCAGCCTAGTCAACATTCGAGACCAGCCTGGCCTACATAGTGAAATTCCATCTCTACTAAAAATGCAAAATTAGCTGGGCATGGTGGCAGGCACCTGCAGTCCCAGTTACTTGGGAGGGTGAGGCAGGAGAATGGCTTGAACCTAGGAGATGGAGGTTGTGGTGAGCTGAGATTGCACCACTGCACTCCAGCCTGGGCAACAGAGCGAGACTCCGTCTCAAAAAAAAAAAAAAAAATGTGAATACAAGGCAGAATGTGATGACAAATATGACAGGGGTATAAGCAAAATGTTTAAGACTCCTAGCTCTGGCATCTCAGTTGGTTAAGCAGGCAGGTAGCCTACTCACCTTTTCTGTGTTTCAGTTTCCCTGACCATGAAAATGTGATGGCGGCAGTAGTATTGGAGGACCTTGACTGTTTTTTTCTCCAAGTGGAGTTGATAAAAATGGTGGAGAACTACTAAAAATGTCGGAGAAAAGATAGTACTGTATTACAGCTGAATCCCTTAGAAGATTTGTGTGGTGTATAAGTTAGATTAGAATGGGTACAGAATGCTGTCTATAAAGGATATTTGTTGATTCTTCATTTCTGCTTTTGAAATCTGTCCTGTTACCCTGAAATTGGTTGGTCACTTCATATTAGTGTAATTTTAATGATAGCATTTTACTGTGTGCCCACCCTGTGAGCTCTCTCCAATGAATTAACTCTCCATCTATTCTCAATTCCCTTATCCTGCCTATTCTCCTTCACAGTATTTATTACTACCTGGCATTTTACTGTTTGTTTATTGTTTACCCTCCAGTAAGATAGGTGAGAGCAGGGCTTTGTGTGTATGTGTGATTGTTCTAATCAAATTATATTTTGGGATAATCGTAGCTATGTATGTAATTGTAAAGAATAATACAGAGAGATTCCATATACCCTTTATACAGTTTTCCCCAGTAGTAACCTCTTGTAAAACTATAGTACAGTAACACAACTGGGACATTCACATTTGTATGGTCAAGATTCAAAACATGGCTGGTTGTGGTGGCTCACGCCTATAATCCCAGCACTTTGGGAGCCTGGGGTTGCATTATGCTTGAGGCCAGGAGTTCAAGACCAGCCTGGCCAACATGGTGAAACCCCATTTCTACTCCAGATACAAAAATGAGCTGTGCGTGGTGGTGGGTGCCTGTAATCCTAGCTACTCGGGAGGCTGAGGCATGAGAATCTCTTGAACCAGGGAGGCGGAGGTTGTCATGAGCCAAGATTGTGCCACTGTACTTTAACCAGAGTGACAGAGTGAGACTGTGTCTCCAAAAAAAAAGATTCAGAACATTTCCTTCTCAACACAGATTCTTCAGATCGCTCTTCTCTAGCCACCTGAGCTTCCTTTCTACCCACACTCCTTTGTTAACCTCTAGCAATGACTAACCTCTGCAATGAGAAGTTAGTCTCCATCTCTATATTTTGTCATTGCAAGAATGGAATGGAGTCATACTTTTGGGGATCAGCTCTATTAACTCAGCATAATTCTCTGGAAATTAATCCAGGTTGTTGCATATATCAATGGTTTGTGTCTTTTTATTATTGAGTAGTAGTAGTGCATGATATGAATATTACCGAAGTTTGTTTAACCATTCACCCATTGAAGGACATCTTGGTTGTTTTGGGGCCATAATGAATATAGCTGCTATAAGCCTTTATGGACATGTTTTTGAGTGAATGTAGTAAGTGTTCATACCTCAGGACTAAATGCCCAGGACTGCAGTTGCTGAATTGTATAGTAGTTACATGCTTAGTTTTTAAAGCAACTGCCAAACTGTTTTCCACAGTGGCTGTACCATTTTATATGCCCACCAGCAATGTCTGAGCGATCCAGTTTCTCCACATCCTTATCAGCATTTGATGTGGTTGCTATTTTTCTATTTTAACCATTCTGACAGGTGCGTAGTGCTATCTCATTGGGGTTTTAAATTTACATTACATTTCCCTAATGGCTAATGATGTTGAACATCTCTGCATGTTATTACTGGCCATTTATTTGTCCTCTTCATTCAAGTTTTCCTTCATATTTCATGTCTTTTATATTCTTGTCCTAATTGGATTGTTTGCTTATTTTACTGTTTTTTTTTTTCATTTTTAATATTGTATTAAAATAACAAAATTTACCGTCTTAGCCATTTTTAAATATACAGTTCAGTGGTATTAAATACATTTATAATGTTGTGCAACCATCATCCATCTCCATAACTCTTTCATCTTCCCGAATTGAAACTGTACACATTAAACAATAATTCCTCATTTCCTCCAGTTCCTGGCGATTACCATTATACTATCCGTTTCTATGAATTTTGTTATTCCAAGTACCTCATATAAGTGGAATCATACAGGCCGGGTGTGGTGGCTCATGCCTGTAATCCAAGCACTTTGGAGGCCAAGGCGGGCGGATCACCTGAGGTTGGGAGTTCAAGACCAGCCTAACATGGTGAAACCCCGTCTTAAAAAAAAAAAAAAAATAGGTGGAATCATACAGTATTTGTCTTTTAGCTGCCTTATTTCACTTAGCATAATGCCCTCAAGGTTCATTTGTGTTGTGGCATGTGTCAAAATCTCCTTCCTTTTTAAGACTGAATAGTATTCCCCTGTAGGGGTGTAACACATTTTGCTTATCTATTTTATCTATTGATGGACTCTTGAATTGTTTTCATGTTTTAGTTATTGTGAATAACGTTGCTATGGGCCAGGTGCGGTGGTTCATGCCTGTAATTCTGACCCTTTGGGAGACTGAGATGGGAGCATTGCTTGAGCCCAGGAGTTTGAGAGCAGCATGGGAAACATGGAGAGATCTTGTCTCTGTAAAAAAATATTTTTTAATTAACTGGGTTTGTGGTGGTGTGTGCTGTAGTTTCAGCTACTCAGGAGACTGAGGCAGGAGGATCATTTGAGCCCGAGAGTTGGAGGCTGCAGTGAGCTGTGATAGCGCTACTGCACTCCAACTTGGGTGACAGAGCAAGACCCTGTCTTTAAAATAATAATAATTATACTGCTTTGAACATGAAGGTACACGTATTTCTTTGAGACACTGTTTTCAATCATTTTGGTTATATGCCAAGAAGCAGAATTGCTTCATCATATGGTAGTTATATTTTTAATTTTTTGAGGGGCTACCGTACTATTTTCCACAGTGACAGTACCATTTTACATTCCCCCAAACAGTCCAGAAGGGTTTTAATTTCACGACATTCTCACCAACACTTTTTTAATAGTAGCCATCCTAATGGGTGTGAGGTGGGATCTCATTGTAGTTTTCGTTTGCAATAATGATAAGGAATGTTAAGCATCTTTTTATGTGCTCATTAGCCATTTGTATAACTTATTTGGTGAAATGTCTATTCAAGTCCTTTGCCCATTTTTTTTTAAATTGGATTGTTAATTTTTTTATTGCTGAGTTTTAGTTCTGTATATATTCTGAATGCTAATCCCTTATCAGATACATGATTTACAAATATTTTCTCCCAGTCTTTGGGTTGCCTTTTTACGCTGCTGATAATGTCTTGTCATGCACTTTTTTTTTTTTTTTTTAAGATTTTTAAGAAGACTTTTTTAAAAGAAGTCCAATTTGTCTATTTTTGCTTTGTTGCATGTGCCTTTGGTGTCATGTCCTGGAGATCATTATCATATCCAGTGTTGTATAAAGCATTTGTCCTGTGTTTTCTTCTGGGAGTTCTACCATTTTAGGTCTTGCAGTTAGATCTTTGATTCATTTTGAGCTTTTGACTATGTATGTTAGGTAAGAATCCAGTTTTATTCTTTGTATGTGGATGTCCAATTTTCCAAGTACCATTTGTTAAAAAGACTGTCCTTTTCTCATTGAATAATCTTGGCATCCTTTTCAAGATATTTGACCATATACTCAGGATCATTTTTGGGCCCTGTTCTGTTTTATTGGTCTATGTGTCTTTCTTTATATTGGCATTACACTGTTTTGATTACTGTATCTTTGTAGTAAATTTTGAAATCAGGAAATGTGAGTCCTCCAGCTTTGTTTTTCTTAAATTTTCTTACTTTCTTTCTTTCTTTCTTTTTTTTTTTGACAGTGTCTTGCTCTGCTGCCCAGGCTAGGGTGCAGTGGTATGATAATGGCTCACTGTAGCCTTGAATTCCTGGGCTCAAGTGATCCCCACCTCAGCGTCCTTAGTACAGGCACACACCTCCCCAAGCTAATTATTTTTCTTTGTTAGAGATAGTCTTAGCTGCATGTGCTGGCTCGTGGCTGGAATCCCATTACTTTCGGAGTCTGAGGCTGGAGGACTGCTTGAATCTAGGAGTTTGAGATCAGCCCGGGCAACATAGTGAGACCCCGTCTCTTGCTTTCTTTTTGAAAGAGAGAGTTACTCTGTCACCCAGGCTGGAGTGCAGTAAAGCAGTCTTGGCTCACTGCAACCTCCCCCTTCTGCTTTCAAATGATTCTCTTGCCTCAGCCACCCAAGTAGCTGGGATTACAGGCATGAGCCATTGCGCCCAGTCAAGAGATCCCACCCCATATTTAAAAAGAAAAACAGAGACAGAATTCT